TGGTGGTGGTATGCGCCTGTAGTCCCAACTACTTGGGAGGCTGGGGCAGGAGAATTGCTTGAACCCAGGAGGCAAATGTTGCAGTGAGCCAAGATCACACTGTTACACTCCAGCCTGGGTGACAGAACGAAACTCAGTCTCAAAAAAGAAAAAAAATACAAAATTAGCTGGGCGTGGTGGCATACACCTATAATTCCAGGTACTTGGGAGGCTGAAGCATCAGAATCACTTGAACTCAGGAGGTGGAGGTTGCAGTGAACCAAGATTACACCACTGCACTCCAACTGGGGCAACAGAGTGAAATTCTGTCAAAAAAAAAAAGAAAGAAGAAAGGAGGGAAGAAGGAAGGAAGGAAGGAAGGTAGGAAGGAAGGAAGGAAGGAAGGAAGGAAGGAAGGAAGGAAGGAAAGGGCAGAAGGGCGGGCAAGTAGCACACCTGATATGTGGATGCTCTTCTAACACTTTGGGGCCTGCATCAAGAATGAAAGTTTCTTCCTCACCCCGTCCTAAAGGGGATATGTGCAGTGGGGCTGTCCTTAAGAATTCAGTTCGATGCACCCTCTGTAGCCTATCGGCCAAGAGTGAGAAACACTGTGAGGCCACAGCTCCATCTCACCCACCCCCTCGCCAGCCCCTGCTTTCCTGCATTCACCCAAACACTTGCCCCTGTCCCTCAACATTCCTAGAACCTTCACTGTCCTCTGAGGTCAGCGATGTATTTAAAGCACTTGTTTTCATCCTGTTCCCATCAGTAAGATTTAATGTAAGATACTCAGAAGGGAAATTCCACTCTCTTTCCTTCTGGGAAATGAGTGGCTACATTGTCCAGACCCAAATCCTTAGCCTAACATTTCTGCCAAAATCCAAAAGTTCATGATTTCACTGAAATAAGGCCACACACATCTTAGGCAACCACAAGTACCTCTTCACATCAACATGTGAGCTTCACTTTTTCCCCTCCTTTTATAAAAGAAAGGGATTGGTTTTTTTTTTTTTTTTTTTGAGACGGAGTTTCGCTCTTGTTACCCAGGCTGGAGTGCAATGGCGCGATCTCGGCTCACTGCAACCTCCGTCTCCTGGGTTCAGGCAATTCTCCTGCCTTAGCCTCCTGAGTAGCTGGGATTACAGGCACGTGCCACCATGCCCAGCTAATTTTTTGTATTTTTAGTAGAGACAGGGTTTCACCATGTTGACCAGGATGGTCTCGATCTGTTGACCTCGTGATCCACCCGCCTCGGCCTCCCAAAGTGTTTTGTTTTTTTTTTAACTCTTTCACAAGATCTAAGTAACTTGATTTTTGTGCGTGTGCTTTTTTAACATTACAAATCCTTTAAAGTGGATACAGTTGGAAAATATTCATCTCAATGAACATTAAACAGCTCAACAATGTCCCCTGCTGGCCATGAGCATAGAGAGAGAGAACCTGAGCCACTATTCCACCCTGAAAAACAAGACAGGAATAAGTGTCTCAAAATGAAACCCCCTACCCTCTACTCAAAAAAATATGCACTGGTCATTCAAACCAGAAAAGCACAGCATCCAAATATGATAAAGACCACAGAGTAGGAAATGGAGACGAAATCACTATTCATTTTAATAAGTAACCATGGAAAGAAATCCCCAAACTGATTTGTCTCTGCAGCCCAAAATGTGGAGAATTCTTTTTGGTTGCAAGTATTCATCCACTAACCAGACATCTCCTCAACATCAATACTACCCACAGGCTGTTGTTTCAAAATTTGGGGCTGTTATCTATCGGTACCATTCTTACCCATTGAGGATTTAATGTAAAACATACAAACAAAAATCACTGTCTTCAAGAAGCTCCTGTTTTAGTAGGAGAGAAAGAAAATGAACAAAAGAGCAAAAAGTTTTTAGAAAACAAGCTCTAGCCTGGGCACAACGACTCATGCCTATAATCTCAGTACTTTGGGAGGCCAAGGAGGGAGGATCACTTGAGTCCAGAACTTCAAGACCAGCCTGGGCAACATAGGGAGACCCTCATCTCTATTAAAAAAAAAAAAAAAAGAAAGAAAGAAAGAAAGAATCTTTTAAAATTAGCCAGACATGATGGTGTGCACCTGTAGTCCCAGCTACTCAGGAGGCTGAGGCAGGAGGATTGCTACAGGCCAGTGGTTCAAGGCTGTAGTGATTTTAATTGCACCACTGCACTCCAGTGCCTGGGTAATAGAGTAAGACTCTGTCTCTAAAAAATAATAATTAATAATTTTTTTTAAAAAGCTCTATGAAGAAATTCAAGCAGGGATACAGAGTAGTAGCATGGAAACGTGATGGCATTTGAGCAGACATCTGAACAATTATGGAGAAGTCATATATTGACAGTGTCCCAGGAAGTGTGAACTGCCGATGGAAAAGTCTGGATCTTGAAAAACCTTTGAACCAGTTAAGGAACTGCAGGAAGGCCAGGGAGACAGCTGATGCTTAATAGGAAAGGAGGAGGGCAGGGGGAGATCACTCCAAAGTAGGCAGGGGCCAGATGACATGCTCCATGGTGAGGAATTTGGATTCCATTCTAACTTTAATGGAAACTCACTGGAGAGTTTTGAGCTCGTGCTGACATGTTCTCAAATGCATTTTTAAAAGATCACTCTGAGTGCTGAGTGATCTTTTTAAAGTTATGGTGAAGACAAAGACTGGAGTCTGGGGTGGGAGGCGTCATAGGCAAGAGGAAACCAGTTTGAAAACTACAGCAGGAGTCCAAGTAAGAGGTTGGTGTCTTGGATTAGGGTAGTTGTGGGAAAGGCACAGGTGGGGAGAAGTGGTTGAATTCAGGATATATTTCAGACAGCAAGCCAACAGGGCTTGTTGACAGATTAGAAATTTGGGGATGGGACAGAAGCAATTGGCCTGAACAATTGGGTGTACAGGAATGCCAGTAACAGGCAGAGACAGAGAAGCCTGGTGGAAAATAGATTTGGGGGCGAGGGCAGAGGTGAGAAACCACAAGTTCCGCCTGATTTGCCTGTTAGATGTTCAACAGGACGTGTGTAGAAGATAGGTGGATATAGGAGTCTGGTGCTCAAAGGAGAGGCTGGGACTGGAAATTTATCTTTGGAAATCCTCTGCATATAGGTAATATTTATAGCCATGAGACTGATTGAGATCACCTAATCAGAAGGGGTAGATAATGAAGAAAAGGAGACTAAAGAAGGATCATAAAAGTAGATGGAGCTAGCAAAGAAGACTGAGAGAGGATAGCAAGGCAGAAGGAATCAAAACCAAGGGACAGGGGATTTCAAGAGGAAGGGAGTGTCAATGCTATCAAGGAAATCAGGTAAGAACAAAACTGGGCCAGGCACGGTGGCTCACGCCTGTAATCTCAGCACTTTGAGAGGCCAAGATGGGCAGATCACGAGGTCAAGAGATCGAGACCATGCTGGCCAACAAGTCAAAACCCCATCTCTAATAAAAATACGAAAATTAGCTGGGCATGGTGGCATATGCCTGTAGTCCCAGCTACTCAGGAGGCTGAGGCAGGAGAATCACTTGAACCCAGGAGGCAGAAGTTGCAGTGAGCCTGGATTATGCCACTGCACTCCAGCCTGGCAACAGAGCAAGACTCCACATAAAAAAAACAAAAAACAAAAAACGGGCCATTGGATTTGGCAAGATGAGGATCAAATAGCCTTTCAGTAAGGCAATGAAGACCTATGCTTCCTAAGTTGGATGAGTGAAAGCAGGAAGAGGAGGTAAGCATGTGGAGCCTACAGAACAGCCATTTCTTTCAAGGAGTTTTCATAGAGAAACTCCTTGTTTCGTATTCGCTCAGAACATGTGTGAAGCGGGGGTCACAGATGTGAAGACGGAGGAGCAAAGGAGCGGAAAGTGAATTTATTGGGAACCTGTAGCGGGACTGCAATCACTGTTCCCTGACAGGAATCTATA